GGGTCCCCCCCAACCCCGGCAGGGTGGCAGTTCTGCGCGCAGAGGCCGGGCCGCGCGTCCCCAAGGTCCTTTCTTGGTTCCCAGGCCTCAGGCCCCTGCAGGGACAAGGACCCGCGGGGCGCGGGTAGGTGGCAAAGCGCAGGTGGATGAGGGTGCCCTGGGGGAGGCGTGGCCTCCAGTGCAGACACAGGTGCTCCGTGGAACTGCTGGGCCAGCGAAGTGAAGTGGAGGCACAACCCCGCCTGCCCAACAGCGACTTTGTATCCAAAGCACCCCACTCGGGGCTGGGCACAGTGGCTCACGCCTGCAATCCCGGCACTTTGGGAGGCCAAGGCAGGCGGATCACTTGAGGTCAGGAGTTCGAGACCAGCCTGGCCAACAAGGTGAAACCGCCCCCCCCGCCCCCACCGCGTCTACTAAAAATACAAAAATTAGCCTGGTGTGGTGGCAAGTGCCTCTAGTCCCAGCTACTCAAGAGGTTGAAGCAGGAGAATTACTTGAACCTGGGAGGTGGAGGTTGCAGTGAGCTGAGATCATGCCACTGCACTCCAGCCTGGGTGACAGAAATTCCATCTCAAAAAAAAAAAAAAACCCCACATGGGTTACTTTGTAGCACAGCTCCTCACCCCCAGGAAGATGAGGACTCACAGGAGGCCCCAGGCACAGTGGGAGAGAACAGGACCAGGCTGTGGGGCATCTGTGCACAAAGGGCTCCCTCCCCGCAGGGTCCAGGCCTCTGATTACCACGCCACCCCCACCCTCCAACGGCTTCTCCATCCAACAAATAAATCGAGCTCTGAGATGGCGAAAGAAACAGTGCGGGTTTGTTGCCCACGGGGACGCCTGTCCCCACACACTGGAGAGGCTTGAAGGTGGGGGCTCTGCCCATCCGCTGGGGAATGTCCGGGCCAGCCCAAAGTCTGTGGGGCCTAGGCCTGGGCAGGCTCTGGGGGCTGTGGAGCTGACGAGCCAGGCAGAGCGGGGTCCTTGGGGGCTAAACCCGTGCGTCGGATGCCGTCCTGGTACTTGCGGCAGCCGAGCTCCAAGACTGCACGCACCTCTTCTGCCACGTCCTGCCGGTCACTTTGCTCCAGGGCCTGCACCAGGAGTCCCACAGCCCCTGGCTGCCCAGCCTGGCGCTCAGCCCAGGAGAAGAGCATGTGGCGGATCTGCCCATCCAGATCATCCCTGCAGGCAGAAGACAGGTGACAGAGGGGTCCTACCCACCTGCCCAGGACCCGCCACCACATTCTGCCTCGGAGTGTGGGGGAGTTCCCGGCTCCTTGGGCCAACTGCGGCCAGATCTTTCCTTTCCCAGCCTGGTGTTTCCCCTTTGCCCACCTCCCCTGGAAGAAACTTCTGTCAGCATCAGGTGGGCCCTCCAGGCAGCCAGGGCTCAGCCCTGGGGCTGGCAGCCAGCGGGTAGTGGCAGTCTCACCGGAACTCGTGCCGGATGCGCTGCAGCTCACGGTAGGACACGCCCAGGTGCAGGGCCACAGTTGGCCAGTCTGGACCCAGGCGCCCAGCCACGCTCAGCAGGTTGCTCTGTGTCAGAAAGCCGGTCTCAGCATCTCCCAGGTTCAAGGGTGCCAAGGAGAGGCCAGCCCTCCGCCGTGGCTCCTCAGAGCTCCGAAGTCTCTGTTGGAAGGAAAAAGTGCAGTAAGCCCTGGGCTCCACCCCAACTCTACCACGTCCCCCTGGTCACCCCTGGGCCTCGGTCCTGCCCCGCCCCTCTGCTGTCCCTCAGTCCCACCGGCAGCTTGATGGGCAGAGTGGCCATCCACAGGGCGTCTGCACCCTTCCTCTGCCGGGCAGCCTCAGCCTCCTCGGGTACCTGCACAGGCACTGTGCCACGGTAGAAGGACACCTGAAGGGGCATCAAATGGGGTTCAGAGCTCGGTCCTCTGCCCAAGTGGCCTGGGGGGCCTCTCCCCTCGCCCACCCCCCTCACCCACCTGGCCCCGCACAGCCTGGGCCTCCCGGTCCAGAGTGGTAGTCACGTATACCTCCTTCACATTCTTCAGGTGCGAGTAGAAGACAAAGCAGATTCTGCCCTCCACGCAGTCAGGGCGGTCTAGGGGGCAGGGGTGGGCTGAGCAAGGAGGGCGCAGGGAAGACGGTAAGGCTCCCTCTCTAGGACAGGGAGGTCTTACCAGCATCCACGTCGATGCCGCGCTCGAAGGCCGCAAAGAACTCTTCGCCCTCGAACATCTCCACCGTGTCAGAGGGCTCGGGGCCCTGGTACCGCTCCAGCAGCCGCCGAAGGGTGGCATCCACCTGCAGGGAAGCCCGTGTAGCTTGCAACCCAAAGCCCTGCACCCCACCCCAGCTCTCTGGTCGCCACCCTGCTGCCCTCCAGCCTGCGCCCTCACCTTGTTTCGGGGCAGGCACTGCAGAAGGACCTGCTCAGGGTCCCGGCGCCGCTGCAGAGCGATGAGGTTCACACGGTGCAGCCGCAGCCGCTCCCAGGCCTTCCGAGCCAGGCCTCCCACGCAGTTCTTGGTGGTGTACCAGAGCCAGTACCTGGGAGGGCTGGGGGTGAGGGGGGCTGTACAGACTGGGGGAGGGGGGCTGAGAAAGCTGGGGGGCACTGACCAGGAGAAGTGTGTGACCTGGAAGCGTGCGTACAGGTGGGTGAGCTCCAGGACCACCTGAGCTGTGATGTCATCCCAGGTGACTGCAGGAGGGGCCCAGTACAACAGGTGCAGACGGGAGCGGTCCAGACTGAGGCCTGGGGATGGGAGGGTCAGCGGGCTGAGACTGCCTGGCTGGAGACCCCCCCCACCCTACAGCCACAGGTCCAGGTATGCCCCATGGCCACCTCTCACCTGTGATGCCAGAGGGCAGAGGCAGCTGCACGGTGACCGGTCGGAGGAAGCTGGGGGGACCGCTCTGTGACAGGCACAGCAGGGGGCTCACTGCAGCCTCTGGTTCTCCTAGGAGGGCCTGCAGTTCTCGGCCAGCCATGCGCACCACCTGAGGCAGACGGGCCCCTGAGCACCTGCCTGTGGGCCGAGGCGCCGCTTGCCATCCTTGGTGCTGTCCTGGCCATACCTGCATGGAGACTCGACGAGGTTCCTCAGTGGCCCCAGGGGGGAAGATGACCTTGACCCCAGGATGACCCGAGGAGCACAGCAATGTCCCCTCTGGTGGCACCAGGCAGGCATTGGACACAGGGCGGGAAACCACAAGGAACCAGGAGAAGTGGGGTACCTGGCAGTGAGCCCAGAGCCGCTGAGACAGGGGAGCAGGGAAGTCAGAGGAGCCTGGGTCAGGACACAGGGAGCAGGATCCAGGAGAGATGGGGCGGGGTGGAAGGTGCCCGGGACATGGGGGAGCAGGATCCAGGAGGGACGGGGTGGGGTGGAAGGTGCCAGGTCGAGGCTCTGGGCAGGGGTGCACGGCTCAGGGCAGCGGCTCCCCAGTCGCCACCGGCAGGCCTGAGTGGTCCTCACCTGGGGTGCCTCTTCCTCCAAGTGGGTCTCCAGGTCACCCCAGCTGTTGTCATTCCGGGTCCTGACCACCACTTCACGGCAGCGCCGGGCCCGTGGTGGGGTGAAGAGCAGCCACAGCCCCACATCCTGCCAGGCAAGGATGGTGTGAGGGCTGGGGCCAGGCCTGGGCCCACACACTGCCCCCCGCCACACCCTGGCCATGCCTGCTGGAAGGCCACCCCATGCGGCTGCAGCTCCAGCACATGGCTGAGCAGGGCATCATGAGGACCCAGGGGGACGAGGCCTGGCTCTGGCAGCAGCAGCCGATAGCGGATGGTGATGGGGGTGGCGGTGGCTCCCGCTGGGAACTGCAGGCGGACACCACAGGCCAGGGTCACTGAGCAGCCTCGAGGAGTCACAGGAAAGCTGAGTGAGGAAGGAGCGAGCCACGGGTTAGACCCAGAAAGGCCTACGTGTCGGAGCCTGGACCCAGGAACTCTGGAGAAGGTGTCGGAGGGGCTGGGGCGACAGGCAGACAGACTCCCCTCCAGCCCCCTCAACCCATCCCATACCTGTCCAAATCTGAGGTCAAGAACAGTCTGGGCATTTCTGGAATGAGGGCTGCCACTGTGGAGGGGACAGACGTGTGGTCAGGACAGTGAGGAGACCCACGTCCTTTCCCAGGTCTGCCCCCTTTAGCACCAAGCCCACCTGGTGAACTTGGGACGTCTGGTGAGGCCTCACCCAGGGGGTTCCCCTGCAGGCGCACAAAGGGGGCGTCTAGCAGCTCAGGGGGCAGGTCCCGGAGCTGGTTGTCCCTTAGGTCGAGCCGGGTGAGGAGTGGCAGGTGGGCCAGGCCGGCTGGCACAGACGCCAGGAGGTTGCTGTGCAGGACAAGGAGCCGCAAGGACCGAAGACCCGCTGCGGGCAGGTGCTGGCTTAGGCTCGGCACCAGCCCGGCCCGTGGCACTGGGACACTCCTGCCACTGCCTCCCAGAGCAGCCATTTCAGACTCTCCACAGCTGGGCTCAGAGAACTCTGACAAAGCCACTGAGGGAGTCTCAAAGGCCAGGGAGGTGGAGGGACTCCCAAGAGGCAGCTGTGGACCAAGCCTGTGGGTGCAGAGGCCCCTGCGGAAGACAGGCAGGCTTCAGGGGTCCTCCCGTGGGGCCAGTGTGCCAGGGGCGCAGCAGCTACTCACCCAGGGAGGCCGGGAGGCTCTGTAGCCGGTTGGAGGCCAGGTTGAGCTCCAGGAGGCTGCCCAGGCCTCCAATCTCAGGAGGTAGCGTATCCAGCAGGTTCTGAGAGAGATCGAGGCGCTGCAGGGTGGATAGGGCCCCCAGTGCTGGGGGCAGCGTCTGCAGGCGGTTGTGTGTCACCGCGAGGAAGGTGAGGGCGGGGAGGGCCCCCAGAGCCTCAGGCAGCTCAGAGAGGCAGTTGTGAGACAGCAAGAGTGCACCCAGACCTCGCATCTGCAGGACACAGGCCGGCAGCGTCTCCAGGCTGTTGAAGCTCAGGTCCAGGTGGGCCAGATGGGCCAAGCCACTCAGACCAGCGGGCAGGGTGGTCAGGGCACCTCGGAGACAGGCACCCAGTGTGTCCCGGCGTTGCCCTCCTGGGAAGGGGGGAGGCGGATGTGGCCCTCAGAGCCAGGTCCCAGATCGACCCTGCCAGCCAGAGAAAACAGCTGCTTGAGAGGCACCGACCTCCCACCCCACCCCCACCCCAACCAGACAGGGACTGACAGAAACACTGGAGAGGTGCCTGCAGGTGGAAGGAGGCAGGGATGGAGACCACCGGCTCATCTCAGCTGAGAACCATCACCCAAAACCTTCCCCAGGAACATCATCTGCACTGTGGCCTGGAGAGACCCCCCGCTGGGCAGCTTCAGGGTCCGGGAGCCAGGGCCCAGCCAGCCTCACACTGGGGGTGGTGATCGCCGAGGATGGCGATGGGGCTGGACAGGACCAAGAGCAGAACAGTTCACACCTGGGGAGCCGGGAGGGGCGGACTGGAGCTGGGGCTGGGACCCGGGTTTGCCTTTGAGAACGTGCAGCAGAGGCAGGGCAGAGCAAGAGATGGAGACAGGGCCCAGAACAGGTGGAGCTCACCTTTCAGGACCAGGGAGCGGAGGCAGGACAGGCTCTGAGGCAGCTGGGCCAGGGTGGCCTCCAGCAGCTGAGGGTCCTCGTGAGTGCTCAGACGCAAGAATTCCACCTGCAGCAGCTGAAGAGGCTGCTGGACACACAAGTGCAGCAGTCGCTGGCAGCCCCCGGGATACAGGTCCAAGCTCAGCCGGTTGCCGCCCAGGAAAGGCCGCGCCCTGGACCCTGCGTCTGCATCCTCCGAAGCATCTCCTGCAGCAGCAGCTGCCTCCAGCTCTGGCCCCTCCACCGCTGCAGCCATCGCCCACCGACGGTCCTTGGAGGCCAGACATGTCCCAGCACGCAGGCAGGCCTGTCCAGGCAGGGCCCAGGGAAGCTACAGAGACAGGAGAAGTGAGCGGGAGTCGGGGTGGGCCCTCCCCTCTTTGGGGAAACAGGGACTCTGGCTGGAGTGGGGAGCTCTTGAGCCATCTGGGCCCGGGCTGTAGAGTGGGGGAGACCTTGTCGTCACCCTGAACCCCCGAGGCCTGGGTCACTACTGGAAAGAGGGTTGGAGAATGGGACTGCCATGGCTCGCAGGAGCACCGGGCAGGGAGACCTCACTATTAGCAGCAGAGCCAGGGGAGTGAGGCTTCAGTCCTGGTCCTGGAAATCTGGCCAATGGAGCCGTGGAGCTGCGAGGTCATCGGGGCTGTCCCCCCGTTCTGGAGATGAGTCCCCTTTCTACTTACATCGGCTTTGCCAGGAGGGCCGTGACCCTCCTCTACCGCCCCGAAAGTCAGGGAAGGCGGTGTAAGGGCTAGGGCCTGGGACGTGAGCCATTGGGCAGCTTCGGGGTCCTGGGGCCGGGACCTCAATTCGTGAGCCCTGGAGGAAAGCTCTCCCGCCCTTTCCAGTTCGGTCCACTGGGGAGGGTGGTGCGCCGCGCACGACAGCTCAGATGGCGTGTGGGGCGGGCTCCGGCCCCGAGGCAGGCTCGGGA